TTCTTTTTCAAGTTCTATAATAATTTTTTCATATATATATATATTCATCTTTTAATGATTCCATTATGAGTTTATTTATAATTTGTTCTTTTATTTCTCTAGGTAATTCCTTAACTATAATAATGTTATTATTTTTTACTTTCTTAGGAGTAGGTTCTATAAAAATATAATCTCTTTTTCTTCTTCTATTTTATAATACCAATCTGTTTTTGTAATTGTAACTTTCATGATTTCTATACTTGGAGCGAACAAAAATCTAAAAATCTAATAATTCTTCACAATCTTTTAAATATTCTTTTATGGTGTATCTTATTAATAACTTTAGTAGTTTTTAAATAGTCGTGTATTCTATATATTCTTTTAATTTATCAAGATTCAAATTATTGGTTGTTATAGATATATAAAATTTTAAATTTAAATTAAATATTAATTTCTTATATTCTTGTGGTAATCTATTTATGATTGGCCTTCTCATTTATAAGTTTTTGAGTAATTCTTCAAAGTCTAATAATGTTTGAGAATTTATGATATCAATATCTGTTATTATATCAATATTTGCTTCAAAATGTATTTTATATTTTGAAATATTCTTTTTCATTTTTTCTAGTTTGTCTATAATATCTTGTATATCTTTTATTATTATAGATCTTATAATTCCTTTAGCAAAATTTTCTATCAAGTTTTCCTTAAAGCATTTTAGTATTTCTTGAGCCGCGTATAATTGTTCTTGATATCCTATTTTGTCTATTTCATTTTTGAATTCAATCTCTTTTCTATCTTTTATAATCCTCTTAATCTTGTATGGTTCTCTTTTAGTTCTGGGTTTTTTATAATTTCTTTCAGACGTGGTTTTGAAATCTAATTATAAGTTTTAGGATCTATTTGTACCTTTCTTATATTATAGGGATTTGGCTAAAAATTCTATGTTTTAAGGGTATCTTGAGTTGTTTATATTAGTTGAATAGTCAAAGGGTATTATGTACATTTAGCATAATTCATTTTCTTAATGTTCTGACATTCCAGAGGCCCACAAGCCAAATAGCCTAATCAAGCCTAGTTCATAAAAATAAGCCGAACTCGAATATCTAAGGACCAAATCTACTCGACTCGATCAATAGTCTTTGCATCAACATCAACTTTTCTAACTCTTTTACAATGTCCTAAAAAGACACTTGACTTGGACTTTGCAAAATTTCATACGCAGCAATGCAGTAATTCAGTTGACTATATAGAAATGTATAGTCCAAACTATTCATGAGCATGTTCACAAATGATATTTTGCAATGTGACTCTAAGAATATTTATAAATGCACGAACTCACTTTATTGTGAAAATAATAGACTTTACATTACGACATAATATAAAGTCAATACTATGGAAATGTGTTTCATGATCTTACATAAAATAAATTTTTATCAATTCGGCATTAAAAAAATCAACACTTCGCAGAAAATGATTTAAGACCATAGCATGTGGACTAATTCATGTCTCGTAAAAGTATTATTTGAAAAGGACTGTATTTTATATTCCGTTCATACTTGATTAGAAAATATCTCTCTTGTACCCACCACTCTCACAACATTTATGACGAATTTTTTGTTTACAATGCTATTGATTCGCGATATGGAGAGGTCATACCTTGTATTCAAGTCATTATAAGTGAAACTCTATTCATTGAGTGTGTTTTTTTTTAACTACTTAATCGGTGGGGAATTTGATTCTATCTACCTATATTTCTGAACCTAAATCATTTAACTCCTAAACATGGTTTCCTTTCTCTATTTTGTATTTTTAAACTCGTTTCTATCAATCTTTCGAATCAAATCACATTCTAAAAAAGTATTAGACTCGTGCATATATCACATTCACGTATAGAAAGTACAAATATACAATGTCAAGATTTGCACAAAGAAAAAAAATCTTGATACAAGAATTAAGTAATAAATCAAGCCATTCTTATTGGCTATTTGGTAACACATTGTGAAGCTCGTGACTTTTGACTTTCTGATTCTAAATATTCCTTCAAGTCAAGCCACCATCCACCCCACCTAACCTGTCCAACCCCCATTACTTTCCTTCTCTTTCAAACTTATGTTAGTAAAACATCAACAGCGTTACATAGACTGACCAAATATATAAATAAACAAACAAAAACCCGCAAACAACACGACATACATGTTTGCTATAATCCATCGGTTGATCCGATCTACGAATTTATTTTAACTCTCAATAAATTTTGAAAATTTCTCAAGTCCAATTGCCTTTTTGGTTTCCACATTCCTAATTTATCCACTAAATTAATTTGGTTGAGAAAATTTGTGAAATTATTTCCATATTGAACATTGAACATATATGAGTTCCAAATCGAATCTTTTGAGGACGGTTTTTGAAGGTTAGCCACCCTCGCGGGATTGCACGCTCAACAATACAACTAATAATTCTTTGTTTGGCAAATTTATTAATAATTATATTAGTACCATTTTTCATCGATCTCACCAAACATGTCGTTAATGTAATATTTAAATTGTACAACTAAGTCCACCGCCCCTATTTAAGCCCTATTATATGAAATTTCATTTTTTCTCATCATTGTTAATTACAGGTTCTCCCGATAGAATAATTTCACATAAATTAAAAAAAAAAAAAAAATCAACTTTTTAATCACACATTCTCTACAAAATCATTATTATAAAATCTATTTCTCAACCTCAAAGCATAGTCATAACATTTGACCAAAATTTAGGCTAATGTTTACTCTGTGGACCTCGATCCAACTATGAAATTAGGGTGTTTTTGAAACTCATTTTAAAGAGAATAGAATTTTTGGAATAGTGATTAATGGAAAAATGTATGGTGAAAAAATGATGAAAAGTTTTAGATTTGTGTGAAAAAAGGAAAAAAAAAATGAGAATGAGAAAAAAGGGTCAAAAAGGGACTTAATAATAAATTGGCTAACCAACAAATGCCACGTGACACTCTTAGACATTGGTAGTTGCTCTGGCTTGCTACACTACCAATATAATACTGCTAAAATATGAAATGTCTTCATACCAATAGCCCACCTTCTTTTAACAACATTTCCTATATAAATTCTTCATTTTACCCTTCCTACTCTTCATCTAAGCCTCGATTCCCATTTTTTATCGTCTGATTCTACGAGGCAAGTTGTCCGAAGGTACGTAATTGTTGATGAATTCCAGCATTCCAGTTCTATTCCGTGTAAATTGTACGTAGATCTGTTTTTTCGTCATTTTCGTTTGGATTCGTGATATCAGTCAGTGTGTGTTATTGGATGAATGCTTCAATTGCCCGATCTAATTTGTCTGTTCTTTTCCTCTTTTCGATGATTCCAAGGAGACATGCCTTTCTCGGAAGCTTTCTTTGGTTTTAAATTTCGGTTGAAAAATAGATCTCTTGTACTTTAACGGTCACTAAACAAGTTTTGAAAAGTAAGACTCACACTAAGATCTACCTTTTGGTATAGTGAAATTTTTACTCAATACTGTCAATTTGCGCTATTCCAATGCGGATGTTTTTTATTTCAACAAAATTTGGTTATCATTAGAGCTGTATCATTGTAATTGATCGTGTGGGTTTAACAGAGTGACGATTTGAATGAAAATTCTTCGTTTCCTGTTATTATGAATTTATGATGATTGTTAGAGAAAAATATTACCGATCTTAAAAATATAGTGCACATCTTACTTACTGTGATGCAATTTGGTTTGGTAAATTTCCTCTAAAGTGAATTTTTCTGTTGATGGCTAGTGAAAGTTTTTGTTTTGTGAATATAACATGTCATTTAATATCCTATTTTTATTTGTGTATTTGGCTGTTTATTGGCGTCTCATGCTGAAAGGAATTAGCAATTTTAATGATATTGGAAGAAGATGACAATTTCATATTCGCAATAAAAAATACTTCTAAAAAAAATGAGTTTAAAGTTCATTTGTCACCAGGTTTGTTTCGTAAGAGATAACAAGTGATTCTTTTGATTAGCGATAAATGATATGGAAATATATATCTGTATATTCCATGCTGTATGGTCTTCCTACACGTTTCTCATTTATTATTTTGTTTTAGGATTCTTTTTCTTTTTTTTTTACTGCAACATATTTTTATCTTTTTATTAGTTATATGCTGATTTTGTATTTTCTTGCAGGAGTTTTTAAGGAACCATGGCGACTGGTCAACTTTTCTCCAAAACTACGCAAGCATTGTTTTACAATTACAAGCAACTGCCCATCCAGCGGATGCTTGATTTTGATTTCCTATGTGGTATGTGGAAATACCATAGCTCATGCTGCTGTTTGCTTGATTGCAAATAAATTAGATGCTTTTAAAGGAATTTTACCACTATTGGATCGTTGATTAACATTTTTTTTTACCACAGGGAGAGAAACACCTTCTGTCGCTGGAATTATAAATCCTGGCTCGGAGGGATTCCAGAAACTCTTTTTCGGTCAGGAGGAAATTGCCATACCTGTTCATTCCACGTGCGTTTTGTTTATCTTATTAATGTTGCACGTTATTTAACTTTTACTTGAATGCTAAATACGATAATATATTGATTTGCACTAAAAATCGTGGTAGTGTCAGCTTGATAAGTAATATATTCTCTGCCCTTGTTTTTTAACATAAATTTTAACTTGAACCAGCACAAATTAGTCCTATAATATGATGCACTTGATGAGTTTATGGCTTCTACTTTCAGATGATTGAGTGTATCAGACCTACAGGTATCTATGTAAATTAATTTATTAATTCCATTGATGAAACAGTGAAGGCAAACAAGTTCCTCTTTTAACCTACTCAGATAGGAATTCCTATAAAAAAAAATGGTTTGTACTGCTTTTGTAAGTTGATCTTAGGTAGATTTATCTGCAACCTTCAGTGCCAATTATAATGCATGATTGTGCATTTTAAAAATGATAATTGTATGAATTCAATTAGAACATCATAGACATCTAAATCCATGTTTAAAACGGAAAAGCCACACATGATTGTTTAAGTTCGCTTCATGGTTATAATTGACAGCATCTGTAACTACGTGCTTATAAATGGTTTTGGGCTCAAACTCCTTTGGCTTGTGATGTCTAGATATTGCCTCACCCTTAGTTTCTTTTTATTTTAAAATTCTATCATCTGAGACTGAGTTTGAATTTTTCTTGTATTTTGCAGCATTGAAGCCGCCTGTGCTGCACATCCCACCGCTGATGTTTTCATTAACTTTGCATCTTTTAGGAGGTTGGTCTTGTCTAGTTTACAAAAATCTTGATTGCAGATTTCTTCTTGTATGACATAATTGCTGTAATTGCAATGTTCATGCAGTGCTGCTGCTTCATCCATGGCTGCGCTTAAGCAGCCAACCATTAGAGTTGCAGCCATAATAGCTGAAGGTGTCCCTGAGGCGGACGCTAAGCAATTAATTGGTTATGCAAGGGCAAACAATAAGGTAAGAAATGTGAAATTGTTTTTTAGATTTATCATTGGGAAATTTAAATTCATTGTATATAAAGTTTTCCTTTCAGAACATGCAAGTATTTCTTTAATATCTTGTATTTTCTTTCCTTTGGTAGTCTGGTAGTAGTGTTATCCGGAGATGGATTTGATTACAATGGTAAGCATGTTTTCAGGTTGTGATCGGCCCAGCTACTGTTGGAGGTATTCAAGCTGGAGCTTTTAAGATTGGCGACACTGCCGGGACTATCGATAATATTATTCACTGCAAGTTGTACAGACCTGGATCTGTTGGCTTTGTCTCCAAATCAGTGCGTAATCATTTCAAATACTTCCTCCTTAATGTAAAATATACAATTTAATGCACAAAACATGTGCTCATCATCTTCTACAAGAATAATACTTTGTTCAAAGTAGTTCCCACTAATCTTTTGCCCATAGATGCTTCTATCATATATATATATATATTCTAGCATACACCATGTTCTAATGCATTTTAGAAATTTTAGTCTTACATTCCTTTTTCTGCATTTAATGGATTGGCCTTTCGTTGACCAAAAGTCTGTATACTATGTTAAAATTACCTTTGGTGTAGTATAATGAGCTTTTGAAATTTATTTGTTTGTGAGGTCCCTTCTAATAATATTTCTTTTCAATAACAGGGTGGCATGTCTAACGAACTATATAACACAATTGCCCGTGTCACAAATGGAATCTATGAAGGTTGGATATATAACTCTGAAACCTGTTTGTGTATTTTATTCATGACGTTTTGGGGTGTTATTAATGCTCTAAGGTTGACATATAAATCTCATTTTAATTGTGATTTCTGTAGGTATTGCTATTGGAGGAGACGTGTTCCCAGGGTCCACGCTTTCTGACCATGTCCTGCGGTTTAACAATATCCCTCAGGTATAACAGTTTTCTGTACTTAGATCCTTAGGGCTCTTGGTCTAAGCATTTCTCATGTTGAGATTTTATCCTCGTTATGGTCAAACTGCAGTTTAATCATCATCGGCTCTCAAAGATAAATTTTTTTTATCAGTTGGTGAATCTGCTATTTTCCAATGTCACATTCTGTGAAAAGTTACTTTACGACAACCTTGTGAATAGTACACGAGGGAAATCTGAATTTAACCTTGCTACACTTATACACTTTGGTACACAATCTCCTACACAACCTTCTCACATGGGTGTGGGTCCCACAATGTGGGGTCCATTGTGGACTCCACACACATGTGAGAGGGTTGTGTATGAGATTGTGTACCAAGTGTGTACAAGTAGCATTTTTTATCTGAATTACTTCCATTGATTTCCTTGAACTGAGAAGACAGATTTATGAAATTACATAGACTAATTAAAAAGAAAGAAAATAATCTGTGAATAATATTCATCCAAAGAAAAAAAAGTCAACTAACCTACATATGCACATGATTTAAGAAAAGTCAACTCACACTTATTATAACGTCTTAAATTATGAATTTCAAGTCAAAATTTTCGTCTGAAATTCTTTAGGTTGAAAAATTCCAATTAGAAAAAACAAAACCAAAAATACATGCGGATTATTTCACTGTTGTCCTTGTATACACCATTTTTGTTAAGACTTCTCTCAGTGCGTCAGCTGAAATCTATAATTTGGTATCTTGATCTTCTGCAACATGCATTTCACTCCACTGTCATTCATGTTAATACTTTTGGCAGTAGAGGGCATGAAAAGTGGTGTTTGTACCGTCGACATCACAACATGTTACTCATCATACACTTTCTCTTGCTCCCAGCAATTTGTTTGCTTTGCTGTTAATCTTTATTTTCTTCTGAAATCAGGTTAAAATGGTGGTAGTTCTTGGGGAACTTGGTGGACGTGATGAATATTCACTAGTTGAAGCCCTTAAACAGGGGAAAATCAACAAGCCCGTGGTTGCCTGGGTTAGTGGAACTTGTGCTAGGCTCTTCAAGTCAGAAGTACAGTTTGGTCATGCGGTGAGCTAATAATACTTGGTTCCATCTTTGATTCATGTGGTTCTGTTATTTATGATAGTATCTCAATTTTTGTTTTACTATTTGTTATCAGGGAGCAAAGAGTGGTGGTGAGATGGAGTCTGCACAGGCCAAAAATCAAGCACTCAGAGATGTTGGTGCTGTTGTTCCCACTTCATATGAAGCATTCGAAAGTGCAATCAAAGAAACATTTGAGAAGTTGGTAAGTATTATTGAATTTCTTCACATGACAAATGCGGTACTTGCGTTGACCATTTTCTCCAAGACTAGTTTTGCTGGATACCTGATTGATTTCTCATAGGTGGAAGAGGGCAAAATCACACCTGTGAAAGAAGTGACACCACCTCAAATTCCTGAGGATCTTAACACAGCAATTAAGAGTGGAAAAGTTCGGGCCCCAACACATATAATTTCTACTATCTCTGATGATAGGGGTATGGTGTAGATGTCTTTAATACCATTGGCAACTTGCTGCATGATGAATCAATTGGAACTCCTAATTACTCAAAATTGATTTGTATTTCAATTTCAGGTGAAGAGCCAACCTATGCTGGCGTCCCCATGTCTTCCATTGTCGAACAGGGATTAGGTGTGGGTGATGTTATTTCCTTATTGTGGTTCAAAAGAAGTCTTCCTCGCTACTGTACACGATTCATTGAAGTGAGTTTCTTTAATTCTTTATTGCACTAGTCCCCTTTTTAACTTTCAAACTTCTAAAGTTTTTCATAAACTTATATTATAAATATTTTCCTTCATTAATATGTTATCATTACTTTCCTATATTTCAAATTTCTTTTGCCATGTTTATTTATGTTTGAACTTACATCCATTTTCTGATAACTGCAATTGACTTAACCAGATCTGCATCATGTTGTGTGCTGACCATGGTCCTTGTGTCTCTGGTGCTCACAACACCATCGTAACTGCTAGGGCTGGAAAAGACCTGGTGTCTAGTCTTGTTTCAGGTGTGTTGTAGATTCTCGTGGCATTTAGTGCGATGTTAAATTACACGATGTTAAATTACACAATATTTCTTATCTGAAAAGTACATATGTATAATATTTTTGAAACTATTCCTCAATAAATGGACTTTTTGAGGATTAGTTTCTTGATTAACTAGTGATGCAACCACATATTGTTTAAACAGGTTTGTTGACAATTGGTCCGCGATTTGGTGGGGCTGTTGATGATGCTGCTCGATACTTCAAGGATGCTTATGACAGGGTAAGTCATTTGAAATAGTAGATTGATGAAAAATGTGTGGTTGAAAAAGAAGGAAACGTTATTGATGTGATGGAAAATATTATTTTATTGAAAAATGTGTGGTTGAAAATGAGTAGAAGAATGAAAATGAAAATTTTAATGTGGATCAAACAGGGGTTTAGCTTTTCTGAACCCATATGGGATTCTAAAATGTCTTAATCGCACTTTGTCTTCTCAGGGTCTTACGCCTTATGAATTCGTGGAAAGCATGAAAAAAAAGGGTATTCGCGTACCTGGTATTGGGCACAGGTGATAAGCTCCTTAATGTTCTTATTTTGATTATTTTTATTTGTTTATTTATTTTTGGTGGCTTCTTTTCTTGTCAATTTGACTTTGTATAAGATCTTGAATCATAGTCTGAGAATGCTTAATTTGCTTCCTATGGAATAGAATCAAGAGGGGTGACAACAGAGACAAGAGAGTTGAATTGCTACAACATTTTGCACGTACAAATTTTCCCTCCGTGAAGTACATGGAATACGCAGTTGAAGTTGAGACATACACACTCTCAAAAGCAAACAACCTAGTCCTTAATGTCGATGGTGCCATTGGATCCCTATTCTTGGATCTCCTCGCTGGCAGTGGAATGTTCACCAAGCAAGAAATAGACGAGGTTGTTGGGATTGGCTACCTTAATGGACTTTTTGTGCTGGCCCGTTCCATTGGTCTCATTGGGTGAGTTAACTATTAAATATTTTCACGATGCACGCTTTCTTATTTTTATTCTTTTCCAGCTCACATGTTTAAAAGTCACTTTTCTAAAAAGTAAGCCATTTATGGCTATTGATCTTTGTCTGATTGATTAATTCTTTTCAACTCTCAGGCATACATTTGACCAGAAGAGATTGAAGCAGCCACTATACCGTCATCCATGGGAAGATGTACTCTACACCAAGTGAAGAGTATCCGGATAGCCATAAGCTCAATGTTGCTGCCTTACAACGTGCATTTTTATTTGAAGTTTTTCTTTGTTGTCAATTTGTTGTCATGATTTTCAATTGATAATCTAGTTTTGTACTGCTAAGCAGGAAGAGTACTTCATATGTAATTTTAACATACGTCCAGCTAGAGAGACCTCACAATTTCCATGTGAAATGAGGGGTATCCACCATGAAGAGTTCTATGTTTCCAGATTTGGGAAGAAATAACATATATATGCAATCTCATCACCTTCTATAATTCATCATGTGGCTATTGGTTTTTGTACTTTCCGTTTCTTGGCTTGTGTCGAGGACATGTTTGGTCCAAAGAACTAGATATCAAGTGTCAAACAACCATGCTGTTGGCTCATGCTTTAAGGATATGTTTGTTCATAATGCTAGACACGACTAGATATCGGTGTCAAACCGGCCTTCTCTTTACTCATGCTTTGAGGGCACGTTTGGTGCATATTGAAAAACACGGTAGGATAGAGTGTTTAAGAAGCATGACTGACTCTATGAGCAGCTTTGCCAAGCATGGCCTAATCACGGTCTTAGGTCAACCTAGTATGATGGGACAAGCCTTGTGGGCTTTGATTGTCTATTTTCTAGTCCTGTTTCAATCCATGAGTGGCTAGGCCAGACCCATGAGAGGTGCTTATTAATTTGGAATAATGTTATTTAGCATAAGTGGTGCTATAACACTTGTTTAGGTGACGTCATGTGATGTGATAAGCTCAATGAAAGCTACAATTTAGTGAAGCCCTTGTTTGACCCGCATTAAATTACATTACATTACATTAAATTTTTCTCTCTTCATTTTAACCACACATTCATAAAATAAAATAATATTATACACAAATCAAAAAAATTTCAACCACACATTCTCCTATCAATCACTATTCTAAAAATTTTCAACCCCCAAAAATGCAAAATAATGGGGGCCAAACAGGGGCTTAATTGTAACTCATTTCATGCGACATTAATACCACTTAGACTAATATTTTAACACTAATAGTACTAAATAACATTACTCATTAATTTGAAAAGTTTCTTGCCCAAATTTAATGGGTGGGCTTGGAACCATGTACCACAAACAATAGTACAGTAGTACAGATGGTAAGGTAGATAATTTGGGGTGTAATGGGGACCTGGGGGTGCAACTTTCACGTGGAGGGAATGTGATCTGAAAGGGAATAGACATCGCGTGTCCCATCACTGCCTTATGTTTTGTTTTTTTTTCCTCCTCCCAGAAAGCTTTAAATTCGTGAATAGAAAGCATGAACTACGATTATTAGCCCTTGTTTAGTGAAAATTATAATAATTTATATATATATATATATAATTTGACAAAATTGATAAAATACGTGATTAAAAAATTTTAAATTTCATAAAATATATGACTATAATTAAATTTTAATTTCTACCCTACAGGAACAAGTAGCATTTTGCTTTCTGACTACGTCCTCGTCTTTTTCTTCCTTTTCATTGTCACTTTTTATTTTTGTTTCTAAACTCTAAAGTCATTCTTTCTTCTTTCACATAACTCGACCTCTTGTCCAAAAAAATCAATTTTATTATTGGTAAATTTCATATGATATCACAAAGAAATCTCAATTAAGCCCATGTTTCGTCGGATTAAAATCTGATTTTAATACAAATTAAAGTCAAAATAATCAATATTAATCACATCTTTCATGGGTCCCACAACTTTTCGACCATACATTTCAAAAACTACAATCATAATCTACTAAAAATCAAATTTTAATTTCCACCAAACACAATCTAAGTAACTAATCTTTTAATTCATCTCAGTTGGATGATCGAAATTTAATTCGATTTCAATTTTTAAGTTTCACTAACCTGTCTCATACCGTTTCTTAATTGATGAAAATTGTTTAATTGTCACTTATGATGTAATAGATCATCAGTGTATTAGCTTATCGTTATATCAAGTCATAAATGAATTAAAATTAAATACATTTTGTATCGTCATTTTGGCTTATTTTTTCACTAACAGAAGTAAGTTTGTGTTTGACAAAATTTTTTGAGATTATAAGTTGATGAATTCTATGAATTTTGAATAAAAATTATGAGTCCAATAAAATATATAATTAAAAATGAAGTTTGATGAATTTAAAATCTGAAAAAATAAATAAGACTAAAAAATTCCCCGTAGGACGAACCCCCCCACGCCCACGCCCAAAAAAATAAAAAACCCCCCTCTCACACCCCATCTAAACAACCGCTAGTCCACTACCACCACCTCGCACACTTGAATAAAATTCTGGTGCCAAAACCCAATTCACCCCCAAATTCTTGGTGCCAGTTTTGTTAATATTGACCTCTTTTCGTTTTTTACTTCGATTTTTGTCCGCTATTTGTTTTTGGTTTGTGCCCTTAACCCAATATTTGCATGAAATTCAAGAATTGAAAACGGTAGAATTTTTTTTTTGGGAAGAAAAATGGCTTCAGGAAGCAGAGAAACGCATGCTAATGATCAAAATTCTCGGGCTTTAACTCAAGCTCAATCGTCAGGTACAAGCAATCCTCATCATCGTAGTGATGTTAATGTAAATTCTAGCAATAGTCATAGAGAATCAATTAGCAAAGCTGTTGCACAGTACACAGTTGATGCTAGGCTTCATGCTGTTTTCGAGCAATCGGGTGAGTCTGGAAAATCTTTCGATTATTCACAGAGTATTAAGACTACAACACAGTCTGTTCCTGAGCAGCAAATCGCCACTTATTTGTCCAAAATTCAGCGCGGTGGCCATATTCAACCCTTTGGTTGTATGATAGCTGTGGATGAGTCGAATTTTTGTGTAATATCATACTCGGTAAATGCCCGTGAAATGCTTGGTTTAACTCCTCAATCAGTCCCAAGTCTTGAGAAGCCTGAGATTTTAACAATTGGGACTGATGTGAGGACCCTTTTTACCCCATCCAGCTCTGTTTTGCTTGAGAGGGCGTTTGGGGCACGGGAGATCACTTTATTGAATCCCATTTGGATTCACTCTAAGAATTCTGGAAGGCCATTTTATGCTATTTTGCATAGGATAGATGTTGCCATAGTGATTGATTTAGAGCCTGCAAGGACAGAGGACCCAGCCCTGTCTATTGCTGGTGCTGTCCAGTCACAGAAACTTGCAGTTAGGGCTATTTCGCATTTGCAGTCGCTCCCTGGTGGGGACATTAAGCTTTTGTGTGATACGGTTGTTGAGAGTGTGAGGGAACTCACGGGGTATGATAGGGTTATGGTTTACAAGTTTCATGAGGATGAGCACGGTGAGGTTGTGGCTGAGAGTAAGAGGGCAGACTTAGAGCCATACATTGGTTTGCATTATCCTGCCACAGATATTCCTCAGGCATCAAGGTTTTTGTTTAAGCAGAATAGGGTTAGAATGATTGTTGACTGTCATGCCACCCCTGTCAGGGTGATTCAGGATGAATCACTAATGCAGCCTCTGTGTTTGGTTGGTTCAACGCTTAGGGCCCCCCATGGCTGCCACGCTCAGTACATGGCAAATATGGGGTCAATCGCTTCGCTGACTTTGGCCGTTATTATTAATGGAAACGACGAGGATGGCTCCGGAGGAAGAAATTCTATGAGGCTGTGGGGATTGGTTGTTGGCCATCACACTTCTGCTAGGTGCATTCCATTCCCACTCCGTTATGCTTGTGAATTCCTAATGCAGGCATTCGGGCTTCAGTTAAACATGGAACTGCAATTAGCATCACAGCTGTCTGAGAAACATGTTCTAAGGACGCAAACGCTACTGTGTGACATGCTGCTTCGAGATTCTCCCACTGGCATTGTTACGCAGAGCCCTAGTATTATGGATCTTGTGAAATGTGATGGTGCTGCACTTTATTACCAGGGGAAGTATTATCCATTGGGCGTGACACCTTCTGAAATGCAAGTAAAGGATATTGTGGAATGGTTGTTGGCTTTCCATGGAGACTCTACGGGTTTGAGCACTGATAGTCTGGCCGATGCAGGGTATCCAGGGGCAGCCTCACTTGGGGATGCAGTTTGCGGGATGGCTGTTGCATATATCACTTCAAGAGACTTCTTGTTTTGGTTCCGTTCCCATACTGCAAAAGAGATTAAGTGGGGTGGTGCAAAGCATCATCCAGAGGATAAAGATGATGGCCAGAGGATGCATCCACGTTCTTCATTCAAAGCATTCCTAGAAGTGGTTAAGAGCCGGAGTATGCCTTGGGAGAATGCCGAAATGGATGCCATTCACTCTTTGCAGCTCATTTTACGAGATTCTTTTAGGGATGCTGATGGAAGCAATTCTAAGGCTGTTGTACAAGCTCACGGTGGGGACTTGGACTTGCAAGGGATCGATGAGCTTAGTTCTGTTGCCAGAGAAATGGTTAGGTTGATAGAGACTGCAACAGCGCCTATTTTTGCTGTAGACGTTGAAGGCCGCATAAATGGGTGGAATGCAAAAGTCGCAGATTTGACAGGACTATCCGTTGAAGAAGCAATGGGGAAATCCTTGGTTCACGATCTTGTTCACAAAGAATCAGTAGAAACTGCAGACAAGCTTCTGTATAATGCTCTAAGAGGTAGTCCCTCTATTTAAATTTTATTATTCCTCTGCTGATATTCTAAGTTCATCTAGGATGTTTCTTTTACGTTCTACTTAAATGCTAGTATACGTGAATTTTTTGACTGCCTTATAGTTGGTTCTTTTCTTATCTTTTTTGTCTGATTTATCCTTCTTTTGTTATTTGTGAATGGTATTGTAGACTGAAGTGGGAGTAAAGGGCATAATTATTCTTCCTCACTTATTAATTATCCTGAACAGCTTTCACGTGATATAAATCTTTGAAATCTTTAAAGTTTTTTTTTACTCATTGACTGTCCCTATAAACAAGATTCTTAAGCACCAAGTATGTATGCCTTTGTGCATTCTTTTAATGTTAAACAATTGCATAAATCGTGGGTCAAATTGTGAAATGGTACTGATTACAAATCATATTTTTTTCTGGATGGGCAAACCCATCTTACGATAAACACACACGTAAATGATATCTATTGTTGCCTCCATACCTGCTAGAATGTCGATTAGCTGATTCTCAAATAAGCCTTATTTTTTAGATATTTCTTGTGTTCTACTATCTACTTCAGAAGCAACCATCTCTAGATCTCTCCCTTGTAATTTGATGTCAGACTTTTATCACCTTTAGCACAAGTGCAGTAGACTGGATAAAAAATTTCTGTTGGTTACAATTTTCATCCATGACAAGTACCAAATCTGTGCATATTGACCAGTCTGGTTTGTTGTGAAAAGCACCATATTGAGCTGATCAAAAGAGAGGAAAAAAAAAATATTCCATTGGCTAATATCAAGGATTGCAGGGAATACTTTTAATTAATACATCAATCTACTATGCTTTAGTGAGATATATCCTCATGCTAAAATTAATAATTGCAGGTGAAGAAGATAAGAATGTAGAAATAAAGTTGAGGACATTTGGCACTGAACAACATAAGAAGGCTGTATTTGTGGTAGTAAATGCTTGCTCTAGCAAGGATTACACAAACAATATTGTTGGGGTCTGCTTTGTTGGACAGGACGTTACTGGACACAAACTGGTAATGGATAAATTTATCCACATTCAAGGTGATTACAAGGCTATCGTACACAGTCCAAACCCTCTGATTCCACCTATATTTGCTTCAGATGACAACACCTGTTGCTCTGAGTGGAACACTGCTATGGAAAAGCTCACTGGGTGGAGCAGAGGGGACATCATTGGAAAGATGCTAGTAGGGGAAGTATTTGGCAGTTGCTGTCGGCTTAAAGGCTCAGATGCTGTGACAAAGTTCATGATCGTCTTGCATAATGCAATTGGTGGCCAGGATACTGACAAGTTCCCGTTTTCATTTTTTGACCGAAGTGGCAGATATGTACAAGCTCTCTTGACAGCAAATAAGAGGGTTAATATGGACGGACAGATTATTGGAGCATTTTGTTTCTTGCAGATTGTGAGTCCTGAATTGCAGCAAGCTTTAAGAGTCCAGAAGCAACAGGAAAAGAAGTGTGTTTCGAAGATGAAAGAGCTGGCTTACATTTGTCAGGAAATTAAGAATCCATTAAGTGGCATACGCTTTACTCACTCACTGTTGGAAGCCACAGATTTGACAGAAGATCAAAAGCAGTTTCTTGAAAGCAGTGCTGCTTGTGAGAAGCAGATGTTAAAGATTATAAAGGATGTTGATCTGGAAAATATTGAGGATGGGTAGGTTCTGATTTGAACTTTAAACTGTCTGTTTCAATGGCAATACAACATAATGACTTTTTAATTTTTTCTATTCCAAGAAAACAGTCTTACCACCTTCAGATAAATCGTCCATCAACTCTAACTCCGATCTCCATCATCAGTATTTTTTTTGTCACAAAATTGATATGTTATATTGTATACCTGAATTGTAAAAAGATGAAAATATCTGACTATTTTGGATGGATTTTTGCTGATTCTCAGAGCACAAGTAATACTGTTATATTTCTGTTGCTGCTTATCTGTTACTGGTTGCTAGTATACAAGAGATGTACTAAGTTTTAGCCTATCTTCTGGTAGTTCGATGGAGCTCGAGAAGGCAGAATTCTTACTTGGGAGTGTAATAGATGCTGTTGTTAGCCAATCAATGTTATTGCTGAGGGAGAGAGGTCTTCAATTGATCCGAGATATCCCAGAGGAAATTAAGACATTGTCTGTCTATGGTGATCAAGTCAGAATTCAACAGGTCTTGGCAAATTTCTTATCGAACATGGTGCATCATGCTCCATCTCCAGAAGGCTGGGTAGAAATTCAACTTAGACCAAGTTTGAAGCAAATTTCTGATGGAATTACGATTGTGCACATTGAATTTAGGTATTTAGTCCTCTAGAGAAGTAAAGTTCTTTTCTATCCACTTGTTTTCTGTATTATTCACTACTCCTTTAAGCTTTAATTCTCAAATATCTATGCTATCTCAGTAACTGATGTTAGTTTTTTGTTGATGAAGAATTGTATGCCCAGGTGAAGGTCTTCCTCCTGAACTAGTTCAAGATATGTTCCATAATGGTCGATGGGTGTCCCAGGAGGGCCTAGGGCTAAGCATGTGCAGAAAATTCTTGAGGCTCATGAATGGTGAAGTTCAATATATCAGAGAATCAGAAAGATGTTATTTTCTGATTATCCTCGACCTACCCATGCCACATAGAGGTTCGAAGAGCGTAGTCTAAATATACAACTGCAAGGCCTTACATCTAGATCTTTCTCCGGAGTTTAAACCAATATATTGTTTCCTGCATTACCTTTGGGACACTTCCCGCGGAATGTACAAGGTTCGTAGTTCAAGTCTTGTCTTGCAAGGCAGCTAATGAGTAATTAGTGATACCAATAATATTTGTGAAGGCTCTTCGGATTCATCTTCTTCCCCTTACGCCCATAGTTATCCATTTACCAACCTCCATTCAGAGTTCCCACCTTGGTTGTGGTGATTTCTGGCATATAGGTCTAATCTTAGAGTACGTGAAAGGATATGCTACCATGTATAATATGATATGAACCAATGAGAAAGGGCACAAATTGGTACGGGATGCTGTCATTACTGCCGGTAAGTGTGTATTCTGAAATAATTGTTTGTGTATCGTCTCTTGAGTTTCGGTGCTAATTTAAAATAATTACTGTCTTTTGGTCCTGTTGACGAATCTTGTGGCTATTAGTGTTTACTCTATAATTTCGATTGATAGTCACTGGCCTGCCATTAAACGTGTAATTTATGCAATAATTAGTACGCGACAATGTATATCAGTTCCTTTCCTGGGGAACACCTGATTCAGAAACTAAATTCCCTGGATTTATCAGTATATGTTAAAGATCAAGTAGGCATATTTGTAGTCTTTTCCATAAATTGTGTTTGGACCAAGGTATATTGCAGAGAGGGAGAGATTGAGAGGTTCCCGATCTTCAAGAAGCCCGAATGAAAGACCCGACCCTACATGCACAGGCCAATCCACAAAGTACTAAAAATGAAGACTGGGGCCTGCTAATATGCTACTAACCTTGTCCAAAAAGTTTCACCAAATGCTTTGGACTTCTCCAATAGGTTAACTTTGGAGTACTTGGAAACTGAGGGAGGGAGAACACCTCTTCTCCTAAAGTTATAGGATCATTTTGCCAAGTTCCTTCGACATGGTTCTCTCAAGTGCCCTATTATTCTATACTTGTTCAGCTATGTCAGTTTGGAGTACAACAACAATTCACATGGAGGATTGCCCTCCAAATGTGAAGTTTTCTCCATGGAAGTTCTACGTTGTTGACTATCACAAGAGTCACGAATATAAAGAGACTCGTGCCTATGGCTGGGTGGTATGCGAAGGAGGGAGGGAGAATACCGTTTAACGGTTTCAATTACCCAGTAAAGCAGTAGTTTTTTTTGGTGTGCTTATCTAAAGTGCCCTAGTGTGCTATACTTGTCCACTAGTGTCTGTTTGGAGTACGGTCAGTGCACCAAGACAATTGCCTTCTGAATTCAAAGTTTTTTCATTGAAATTTCGACCTTTTTGACTATGACACAAATATAAAGAGATTCGTGTCCATGGTAGGGCGGTATGGGAGGGAGGGAAGGCATTGACTACAAATTTGTGAACTATTGCCCTTAGATTTGCACATAAACCAGATGTACGGTGTACAACAGTTTCTAGTAAATCTCCTTAACTGATGTGTGAATCTTTCATCGTGATATATAGGTGTTCTTTAAAAGTTGATACAAAGTGAATGAGTGACTCATTTTTGTACACCAATACATATTAGTGACATGTTTGGTGAGGCGTATAGGATAATATTAAGAAAGAAAAATACCAAAGTTAATGGGTCATTTCGTCAGGTTTTTTTTGGTGTGCTTATCTAAAGTGCCCTAGTATGCTATACTTGTCCACTAGTGTCTGTTTGGAGTACGGTCAGTGCACCAAGACAATTGCCTTCTGAATTCAAAGTTTTTTCATTGAAATTTCGACCTTTTTGACTATGACACAATTATAAAGAGGCTCGTGTCCATCGTAGGGCGGTATGGGAGGCATTGACTACAAATTTGTGAACTATTGCCCTTAGATTTGCACATAAACCAGATGTATGGTGTACAACAGTTTCTAGTAAATCTCCTTAACTGATATGTGAATCTTTCATCATGATATATAGGTGTTCTTTAAAAGTTGATACAAAGTGAATGAGTGACTCATTTTTGTACACCAATACATATTAGTGACATGTTTGGTGAGGTGTATAGGATAATATTAAGAAAGAAAAAT